ACTTTAATACAAATTTGTTTAAGCTAAGGTGTTAATTATAATTCCCAGGGCAATTACTAAAAGAGTAACAGAAAGTAACAGAAGCAACAAGTTAATTAAAATGACATACTGTAAAAACTTATTTAACATGAAGGAATAAACTGAATAATAGAGGAACAAAAGATACAAAACATACGGAAAATAAATCGCAAAATGGCAGATGTAAATCCTACCTTAACAACAGACTCCACTTAAATGCATTAAATATAAATTAACACTCTACATAATTGGAAGAATGGATTAAAAAATGACTTAAAAAAGAAAACATGATCTAACTATTTGCTGTCTACAGGAGACACACTTTTTTTTGGTTTGTTTTGTTTCAAAAAAAAAGGTTGAAAGTAAAAGGATGGAAAAAGATATTCCATGCAAAAAAGAATCAAAGTAGAACAGGGTACAAGAAATTTGAGTCTCCCTTTTTTCCTTGGTAAGTCTAGCTAAAGGACTGTGAATTCTGTTGATCTTTCCACAGAACCAACTTTTGGTTTTCTTGATTTTCTCTATTTTTTAATTCTTTTTTTCATTTATTTTTGCTCTAATCTTTATTATTTCCTTCCTTAAGCTTGATGTGGGTTTAGTTTGCTCTTCTTTTTGTAGTTTTGTTTTCATTAAACTTTATTTTTTTAGAGAAGCTGTAGGTTCACAGCAAAATTGAGGGGAAGTTACAGGGATTTCCCACATGCTCCCCTGCCCCCACACATGCTCAGCCTCCCTCATTATCAGTATCTCTCACCTGAGTGGGACATTTGTTATAAATGATGAACCTACACTGACACATCATAATCACCCCAAGTCTATAGTTTACATTACCATTTACTCTTGGTATTGTATATTCTGTGGGTTTGGACAAAGATTTGTAGTTTCTTAAGGTGGAAGTTTTGATTATAAATTTGAGACTTTTCTCCTTTATTAATATGGGCATTTACAGCTTTAGGTAGCCCCTTAAGTACTGCTTCTACTGCATTCCTTAAGTTTTGTTATTTTTTTTTCATTCATCTCAAAGTATTTTCTAATGTCCCTTTTAACTTCTTTTTGATCCCTTGGTTATTCAGTAGAGTGTTGTCTAATTTCCACATATTTGTAAATTTCCTAAACGTCCTTCTATTAGTGATTTCTAATTTCATTCCACTGTAAATAGAAGTGGTGAGAGTAGACATCTTTGTCTTATTCCTGGTATTGGAAGGAAGATTTCTGTCTTTCACCATTAACTATCATGTTAATTATTAACACAAATATATGGTCAACTGACTTCTGACAAAAATGTAAAGGCAAGTAAATGAAGAAAGAATACTCTCTTCAACAATTGGTACTGGAATAATTGGACATTCATAAGCAAAAAAGTGAACTTTAACATAAACCTCACACCTTATGTAAAAAGTAAGTCAAAGTGGATCATAGATCTAAATGTAAAATATACAACCATAAAACTGTTAGAAGAAAATAAAGGAATAGGGCTTCCCTGGTGGTGCTGTGGTTAAGAATCTGCCTGCCAATGCAGGGGACACGGGTTCAAGCCCTGGTCTGGGAAGATCCCACATGCTGCAGAGCAACTAAGCCCGTGTACCACAACTACTGAGCCCATGCTCTAGAGCCCGTGAGCCACAACTACCACGTGCTGCAACTACTGAAGCCTGCATGCCTAGAGCCCGTGCTCTGCAACAAGAGAAGCCACCACAATGAGAAGCCCGCGCACTGCAACGAAGAGTAGCCACTGCTCGCCGCAACTAGAGAAAGCCCATGTGCAGCAACGAAGACCCAATGCAGCCAAAAATTTAAAATAAAAATAAAAAATAAGGTTTAAAAAAAAGAGAAAGTAAAGGAATAAATCCTTTTTCATAATCTGGTATTAGACAGAGTTCTTAGACATAAAAAAAGCACAATCCATGAAAGAAAAAATGCGTAAACTGGACTGTATCAAAATTTAAAATATTTGCATTAATGCAAAAAAATTTGTACACTGAAAACTACAATATGTTGCTGAAAGAAATTAAAGATACAAATAAATGAAATAAATGCAAAGACATTCCATGTTCATGGATTGAAGACTTAATATTGTTAAGATGTCAGTACTGCCCAAAGTGATCTACAAATTCAAAGCAATCCTATCAAAATACCAATGACGTTTTTTGCAGAAATAGAAAAATCCAGGAATTCCCTGGTGGTCCAGTGGTTAAGACTTAGTGCTTTCACTGCCGTGGGCCTGGGTTGGATCCTTGGTTGGGGAACTAAGATCCCACAAGCTGCCCGGCATGGCCGAAAAAAAAAAAGAAAAAAGAAAAAGAAAAATCCATCCTAAAATTCATATGGAATCTCAAGGGACCCAAAGAGTTAAAACAATCTTGAAAAAGAAGAGCAAAGTTGGAGGTCTTACACTTCCTGATTTCAAAGCTTACTACAAATCTACAGTAGTTAAAACAGTGTGGTACTGGCATAAAGACAGACATACATACCAATGGAATAGAATGGAGAGCCTAGAAATACACTCTTTCATTTATAGTCAAATGATTTTCAGAGAGTATGCTAGGACCATTCAATGGGGAAAGGCAGTCGTTTCAACAAGTAGTACTGGAAAAACTGGATATCAAACATGCAAAAATGAATTTGGACCCTTTATATCATAAACAAAGTTAACTCAAAATGGATCAAAGACCTAAACATAAGAGCTAAAACTATAAAACTCTCTGAAGATAATATAGGAAAAAAGGTTTATGACATTAGATTTGACAGTGATTTATTGGATATAACACCAGAAGCACAGGGAACAAAAAAAAAACTGACAAATTGGACTTCATCAAAAATAAAAACTTTTGTGCATCAAAGGACACTATCAACAGACTAAGAAGGCAACCCACAGAATCGGAGAAAATATTTGCAAATCATATATCCGATAAGGGAGTAATATCCAGAATATATAAAGAACTGCAACTCAACAAGAAATAAACAACTCATCTAAAAAATGGGCAAAAGACACCCTTGTACATTGCTGGTATGAATTTAAAATGGTATAGCCTCTATAAACAGTATGGTGGTTCCTCAAAGGATTAAACATAGAATTACCATATGATCCAGCAATTTCACTTCTGTGTATATATTCAAAAGAATTGAAGGTAGGGACTGGAACAGATAGTTGTATATCCAGGTTCACAGCAACATTATTCACAATAGCCAAAAGGTAGAAGCAACACAAGGGTCTATTGACAGATGAATGGATAAACAAAATGTGGTAGATACATACAATGAAATAGTATTTAGCCTTACAAAGGAAGGAAATTCTGATACATGCTACAACATAGATGACCTTGAAGACATTATGCTAAGTGAAATAAGCCAGACACAAAAAGACACTGTTATGATTCCACTTACATGAGGTACCTAGAGGATTCAAATTCATAGAGACAGAAAGCAGAATGGGGGTTGGCAGGAGATGAGGGAAAGGGAGAATGGGGAGTTAGTGTTTAATGGGTAAAAAGTTTCCATTTGGGAAGATGAAAAAGTTCTGGAGATGGATGGTTACAATTGTTGCAGAACAATGTGAATATACTTAATACACTTAAAAAATAGTTAAAATGGTCAGTTTTATGTTAGGTATATTTTACCACAATAAAAGAAAGTTTGCTCTGCAAAAGACACTGTTAAGAGAATGAAAAGGCAAGCTACACACTGGGATAAAATATTTGCAAATCATATATCCAACAGAGAATTGTGTTTAGAATACATAAACAACTCTCAAGAGTCATCAGGAAAAAATTAACAACTCAGTTAAAAAACAGCAAAAGATTTGAACTGACACTTTAGCAACAGGATATAAGGATGGCAAATAAGCATATGAAAAGATGTTCAACATCATTAGCCATTAAGGAAATGCAAATTAAAACTACAATGAGATAAGACTTCACAGCTATTAGAATAACTAAAATAAATACCAACAATACCAAATGCTGACAAAGATGTAGAGCAACTGGAACTCTCATACATTGCTGGTGAAAATGCAAAATGGTTCAGCCACTCTGGAAAATGGTTTGGCAGTTTCTTATAAAGTTAAACAAACACTTACCATATGACCCAGTAATCCCACTCCTAGATATTTACCTTAGAGAAATAAAAATTTTATGTTCACACAAAAGCCTGTACAAGAGTATTCATATCAGTATTATTCATAATCACCACAACCTGGCAACAGCCCAAATGCACTTGAATGGGTGAATGGATAGACAAACTCTGGAACATTCATACAATGGAATGCTACTCGGCAAAATGAATGATACACACAACAACTTGGATGAATCTCAAAGGCACTATGCTGAGTGAAAGAAGTCACTCTCAAAAGATTATATATTGTATGATTCCATTCATATGACGTTCTCTAAAAGACAAAATCACAGTGATGGAGAATAGATCAGTGATTGCCAGGGATTATGGGTGGAGTTGGGAGTGACTATCAATGGATACTATGAGGAAGTTTGAGGGCCATAGAGCTGTTCTCTATCCTGATTGTGGTGGTGGTTACATGAATCTATGTGATTTACACGATTTACAATTCACAGAATTGTACACATAGCCCCCCCCCCCCAAATAAACAGGCAATTTTATTTTAAGTTCATTTCAAAAGTAAAATATTAGCTATTATATCATCATCAATAGTTATACGTTACTGATTAATAAAAGTATTCAGAATTAGTTACAAAATAGGATCTAAAATTCATTAAGGTCATTTTATGTCTGGTATAATAACTTAAAGGTATAGAGAAAAATATCAACAACACTAAATGTAAAAGCTTTATTACAACTTCTACTAACTCCTCTCTTTAATATTCTGTATCAGGATAATATGCTCCCTGTGGATCATGTCCTATAAACATTGTCATATACTGAATATGGAATTAAATAAGAACTCAACTTAGAAGTCTGGGACCCTAGGTTACATTCCTAAATCTAACACTGTAAGAAAACTCTCGACTTGCCTTTTGTGCCTAATTTTATCTTCCTCTTCATTGAGGTCATGTACTTGTCTGCACTTGTCTTTTTGTGGTATGCTGTGAAGGTGTAAAGCAAGGAGTTTCAAAGATAGGAAACAGAACAGATTCATATACCACCCACCCACCCCAAATACCAGGTACTGCTTTAAGTGATTCACATGTATTACCTCTCTTAATTCTCCTAACAACCCTAAAACACAGCTACTATTAATATTCTCATTAATATTCTCATGAAGAAAATGAAGCATAGAGCAGTAACTTGCCAACATCTTATAGCTAGTAAGCGGGGGGAGCCAGGATGTTCCCAGCAGTCTGCCTCCAGAGCCCATGTTCTTAATCAGTATGCTATAAATGTCTCTCCACCAAAGGCTGTTTGTTCATTCTTTCTTTCCTTCCTTCACCACTGCTCTTCCATGTCTATGGTCTCTCTGTCTCTAACAAATCATTCATTCATTCTGTTGGCTTTACCTATGGTCTAAGCATAGATGAGCCCCAATTCTATGGATCTAGTTGTGCCCTCTCCCCTGAGCTTCACTGCTGCATTTCCAACAGCCTCCTCGATATCTGCATTTGATGATCCTGCGGTCTCACAAATTTAACATGTTTAAAATCAAACTCATCATCTTTCCTCAAAATTTCCCCATAAAGGCTTCCTTAATTTTGCCGACTGTTAAATTACACAGCGTTGAAGCACCTGGGCTATCTTTGACACATTTCTCTCCACTGACCTTCATTCTCAGTCAACAAGTTTTACCAATTCTTCTTTTGTAATGTCTCTTATAATCATACCTACTTCTCTTTCCAATTCCATTGCCATCATCCTAGTCAGCTCTTCCTGCTGAAATGACTGTAATGCCTCCTAAATTGTTCTGCTTCCAGTTCTCCCTTTTGTGCATCCTACTTACTGGCCACTAGATTAATCACTTTCAAATACTGCTTTTATCATGTTACCCCTGGCTCAAAGACCTTTAACCATATCCAAAATGACTAACTGAATAACGAACTCTGTATAGGTCTATACTACCTGCCAAATAAAGTTCAAAAATTTTAGCTTCCTTTCTAACCTTGTCTCTCATGACAACTCCAAACATGCCATAGTGCTTGCAACAACTGCTGCTAGTGAAATGCCTTTCCCTCTCCTGAAGACTTGGTGGTATTATAAGAACATTTAAATTCTACCTCCTCTGAGAGGCCATGTTCAGTAATGCCAGTCAATGCACAGTGGCCTTTCCCTCCTCTGAACTCCTACAGCCCTTAACAACTGTATCTAGCATTGTTACTAAATGTTATGTTTCTCTCTCCAACCAGCAATTGGCACAAAGTCAGGAACCATTTCTTAAACTTCTGCATACCTTCCACAGTGCCTAGCAAAACTTACCTGTTAAACCCATTCTTTCTGGTTAAGACACACACCATTTATCTATATATTTTGTGCTAGTTTATAGTTCTACCTAAAGACCCTTCACAATCTAGCCTCACCTACCTTTCCAGCGTCATCTCCTGTCAGTCTTCACTGTGTCCTATACTTCCTGCCACACTGAACTTTTCACTGTTCCCTAGACACACCAGGTTCTTTCACAATCCTATTCCTACTCACCCACTATCTGTAATGCCCTCTCCCCACTATTTACCTGACAAGTGCCTGTTGATCAGTCAAGACTTGGTACAAATGTCAACTCCTGACTCCCCCAGTTAGACTTAGATGTTCTATCCCTGTGTCCCCTCAGCATTTTATTCACGTCTCTACAATAGCAATTTTCATGTTGTACTGCAACTAACTAGGTACATATTTGTCTTTCTCAAGGGACTATACATTCCTCAAGAGTAGCAATAGTTCATCTTTCCCCTACTCCCTTCACTAACTCTTCATAGTTAATGCCCTGATGTTAAATCTTCCTGTCAGTGAAAGAACATATCAAGTCAGTGGCGATCACATACCTTGGTAATAAAGAGCCTTGAGGAAGGAGTGACGATCAGCTCCCTGAAATAAAGAATTTTCTATTTCCATTTCTCGCCGGGTCAGCTGTTTGCTCTTTGCAAATCTCTGTGGCAGGCAAAGGATGCGCTGACGCTCTGAGATTCTTTCCTCAATATCTTGAAGACGGTTCTGTATCGCTTCAGGGGTTGCCCTAAGTCTCGCCCTCTGAAATAAGAGAAATGAGATTGCATATATCACAGAGGACACACCCTAAAAGTGACAATCTGATGCCTTAAACAAGAAAGAAAATGATCAGGGCCCAGAAATGGTCATTTACAGACATGTTAGCTAAGAAGTCAAGGAGCAGGAATACCCTGCGCTCCAGTGGTTGGGACTCTGCACTTTCACTGCCGAGGGCACGGGTTCAACATCTGGTCAGGGAAATGAGATCTCACAAGCCACGTGGCACAGCCAAAAATAAATAAATAAAATTAAAAAAAATAAATAAAATCCCATTTGTTTAGGGGGAAAAAAGTCAAGAAGCAGGGGCTTCCCTGGTGGCGCAGTGATTGAGAGTCCACCTGCCGTGCAGGGGACACAGGTTTGTGCCCTGGTCTGGGAAGATCCCACATGCCACGGAGCGGCTGGGCCCATGAGCCATGGCCGCTGAGCCTGCACGTCTGGAGCCTGTGCTCCGCAACGGGAGAGGTCACAACAGTGAGAGGCCCGCGTACTGCAAAAAAAAAAAAAAAAAAAAAAAAAGTCAAGGAGCAGCTTCTCTTTTACCAAGGTCCCTATCCTAAAAACCAAAGAAGATTCAGACACAAAGCTCAGTGTTGTGAGAACTAAAAATGAAAAGGTTCTCAGTACCAAAATGAAAAGATCTTACTTTTTGTTCTCCAGAAAAAATTTGCCCCACTCACCTTTTCACCTGAAACATGGCTCTTCCAAATCAAGATTTCTGTCTCACTAAGCCCTAGTTCCCTGAGAGAAGCAGTCTCCTGGTCCTTCTCATGCAGTGTCTGGAACTGGGACAAAGTCATAGTCCCAGCTGCTTCCTTCCCAAAGGGCTTGTACATAGTACCAGGAGCAAAGCTCTCTTTCTTAGATACACATCTGCAAAACAAGCAGGAAGAGAGTAAGGACATCTTCAGGTTACCACAATTCACAGAAATGGGGCTCGCCATTAAGAGGCACAATGAAACTCAGTGGCAATTTCTCTCTCACGTACTATTTCTAGGCTGAAGCACCACTGTAATGATATGGAACTCCACCAATAATCCAGGACTAATGACTGAATCAAATATTTATTTATTGGGTACCTACTACGCATCAGAGACTGTGCCAGGTACTGAGGATTAAACAGTAAAAAAGATAAAAACAGTTTCTGCTTTTGTGGAAGAACTGTAGAAGAGAGGCAAGTAAACAGGCAATGATAATACTGGATTATAAGTGCTATGTATGTTAAAGGAAGATACAGGAAAGGTACTTAGCCCAGACGGAGTGGGATATGGGAGGCTTCCTAGAGGAAGAGACACAGAAGTAAAACCCTGCCTAATAAGTAGAAGTTTGCCAAGGAAAGCGGGCTGGGAGAGGAGTGTTACATCCAGACTTCAAGAGGCGTCTGTCACCTGGAGGTGAGGGTCTATGATCGTCTGTTTGCAAAACCAATACCTACTCCTCAATGGAGACACTGGTATCAAGTTGATGCTGAAGGAGGCTTTTCAGCTGCCTCTCCCCTTCTGTTTCCAGCTCCTCCAGGACATGCTCATCACTCTTCACACAGCTATTTACCCTGGAATAGATACAAGAATATATGTGGAAAGTAGAAGAGACAGTTAATCTCAAAATATATTCTTTATCTATATTATCTACCATTAGTGATCCCATTTGTTCAAAGACACTTCTCTATTTGTTGTCCTTTATCATTCATTCCACAAACATTAACTAAATACCTGTTTACACACAATGAATGCACTGTGCTAGGTACTGATGGAGTCAAAGATATTCAAGACAGAGTCTTTATCATCAAAAAACTTGCAATTTATTTAGGGGAAGGTAACAGATACGTATGTGTTGAGTGCATGTGCGGGGCAGAGGGGAAGGGGGGGAGGGAGAGAGAGAGAGAGGGAGGGAGGGAGGGAGAGAGAGGGAGAGGGAAAAGGACAGGGAGAGAGAGAGGGACAGAGGGAGAGAGAGAGGAAGAAAGATTTTATATCTTTTATATCTTCTTTATGAAGCATATGCCAAATCAGTAGTTCACAGAAGAAAGATAATTGGGAGGCAAGGTAGTAAATGAAGACTTGGGAAAGGTAATTCTTACACTGGCATTTGAAGGATTGAGTATGATGAAGGAAAGAACAGGGAGAACGAGTATGAAGAGACAGAAATACGTTCTGGGGGATAATAAGAAGTTCAATTTAGCTGGCATTCATGTATGGGAGCCTTGGGAGATCATGTCGGAAGGGTAATTAGACTCAGACTGTGAATGGCCTTAAATACACCAACTAAGAGGTCTGGACCTTAATGTACACGTAGTAGAAAGCAATTTATTAGGTAGTTAAGTGACATGGTACAAGCGATGGTTTAGGAAAATGAATGTGGTTATAATAAGCCTTATGGAATAGTATGGAATAGTAAGAAAGAAACCAGAAGAACTAGTTAGGAAACTATAATTTATCAAGCATAAGGTGATGGAAGTACAAACTGGAGTGGTAATAGAAACTGAAAGGAAGGGTTAGATGAGAAAGGCCTTTTGAAGGTTGGGGTAAGGGAGAAGTGAAAGATAACCCTGAATTTCAAGCAGTGTAACTGAGAGATGGGACCAATGAACTAAAGAGGAAGTTCCAGATGGACTAAATGGTTTGGGAAAGGGAAGTCATTATTGTGTTAGCCGTGTTGAGTCAACTACCTATTACAATTGAAATACCAACATGAAGTATCAGGAATGCTCCAAAGACATATTGAGTCTGAGGTGACAATGTGATACTGGCTAAAAGGAAAGTGATAGCAGAACTGTTGCATAGATAAGAGTCTGAGGCTGCATATGGAAATCTTTAGTCATCTGTGTTGTCAGGATCTGGAGCTGTGAGAGAGGAGAAGATTACCAAAGAAGGGAGTATAGAAACAAAGATCAAGGGGGTCATAACATTTTACAGCTTAAGCACTACTGTGTAGAAATCTAGGTAATGCTAATATGAGCTAACTAACTCTAAATAATTAAAAACTCTGAGTGTAAAGAAATAGCAGGACCATTTAAGTGTGCAACAAATGATTATAAAAGACAAAAACAAAGTGAGTTAATTCCATGAGGAAAATAAATATTAAATACCTTTCTTAAAAAATAGCCCTTTACTACTGGGGTTATGATGAGACGTAAAAGATGTATCTCCCATAATTATAAGCAAGATTCTCATACTTTAGACAGACTTATACCAACTTTGGGAAATTTTAAAGTATCCATAGGCCCAGGGTTTTCAAAAATTCATTTTCAGTATCTTAATCGTTACTTATTGTTTAGAATTCTGAAAGTTCCTGCTAAGTTTAAAGTGGCTTTGAAATGAATAAACCATAGCTAAATACATCAGTACACATGAATTTCAAAAAGAAATGTGGAGTGAAAAAAAGCAAGTCACAGAAAAAATTCATGTAATATGTGTCTGCGTAGAGTTGAAAATTGGATAACACTAGCAACACTTTGTTTAGATATAAATTCGTATGTGATAAAACTATTTAAAAAGAAAAAAGCAAGGGAATGATTAACGCAAAATGCTGGCTAGTGATCCCCTCAGGGAGGGAAGAGAAGCACTCAGGGAAGGGCACACAAGGGACTTCTGATACTGGTAATGTTCTATGAATACTGTATCGATGATACTGCTGTTATCAAATGATACAGCATCCATACTACTGATACTGGTAATGTTCTGTTTCTAAAGCTTGTAGTGAGTACGAGTCTATTATTATTCCTTAACCTGTATATATACATTATTTTGCATGTATGAAAGATATCATAAACATTTTTTAAAAGTCATTTTGAGACAAGGAAAATCAGAAACTTTTTTTGAAAAAGAGGCAGAAACTTGACAGTGCAGGAGAGCATTATACCAGTAAGAATTTAAATGCACCGCTCTATTCCAGAGTGATTATTCTACTTGCAGAATGAATACAAAACTAATTTAATGAGGATCCTTTAAAAAGGCTTTGTGTACTGTCAATAATTGTAAGCTCAGGCTTTCAACAAAGACCAGCCACGTTAAAGCTGCCATTTCCTGCAGAACCAGTAGGGGGAACCGCTCGCAGCGGTGCCTTTCTTTTCTTACAGTACGTGGAACCGGTTTGGCACCCTGCTTCTAAATTTGTAACAACAAAGTATCACTTGCTTACTTTAAGACCTAAAAATACTACATGGTCTCTGAGCCCGAGAAAGTCCTCTTTAACACACAAACACTGCGAATAAACGCGCCCACCCTGGGCCCCTTTCTGAGAATGGGGTGGAGGTAGGGCGGGACAGGGAGGAGCTGGCCCGCGTTTCTCCGGCGCAGGCCGGTTTCATCAAGCGGCCAAGACCCTTTTACCTGGGTAGGTCCGTCTGAAATAGGAAGGAGTCACGGCATCCGTCCCGGGGCCGGCGCCGTTGCCTAGGTGCCTGTGCCGGGAGGACATGCCTACGGGGACCGGCAGCAGCGGCGGCCCTTCCTGAACTTCGCCCTACAGGCCTGTCCAGCCCGTCTCCCCTTTTCCCTCCTCCTTTGTCTTCCCGCTCACACGAAACCGCGTCCCCAGAACGTGACATAACCCCAAACCCAAAGTAACAAAAGCCACTTGAAGAGTTAAAAGATAGAACAGACCTCCCTTCGCCGTCTGCTCTCAGACAAGCCCTTACCTCTTCATGTTTCCACAGGCCCCTAGCTCTAACTTGGGTAAATAGGCCGCGGACTTCGAGTCCCAGAACTCTGCGCGGCCGACTCTAAGGGGATTGTGGTGGAGCGCAGGGCTCTGGGAATTGTAGTCTCGCATAGCCAGGAACCCAGAGTACGTACTGAGCAACCGGTATATTGTGAATTGTTCAAGTATTTCTCTTGGATTTCTTGTATAGGTTAAAGGTAACATCCAAAATATCCAGCTCATAAGCCTAGGAGTCGCCTTTGACTTCTTGACTCTCTCATCCAGTATCACCAAATCCTGGCCCCTCTAATTTCCCTCGAATGTGTCCCTATCAACCCTGCTTCTGCTTTCAAACACTTCTTATCCTGCATCCCACCTACCTGCTGTTTCCAGTCGAGCCTCTGGTTCATCCTCTGCAGTGTTACCAGAGTGATCAGACTCAAGTTTGACCACGTCACTAGCACAAATGGTTCTCCTCCGTCTCTAACAGAGGCTAAGACATTGTACTTCCTATCCTGAGAATCAGAAACCCACGTGTATTCAGGCCCATGAATGTTTTTATTGATAATTACAATGAATCAAGAGAGTGGTAGAACACAGTGGTTAAGAGAATGGGCTCCTAGTTCCTGGAAATGGAAATACAAATGTCCTTAAGTACATGAAAAGAAAGATGTTTAATCTCACAAGTGACATGTAAATTTCAAAGTACACTGACTATAAAATACCTGATGTGTACTCCTCAAAACTGTCAAGGTCATCAAAAACATGGAAAGTCTGAGCATCTGTCACAAAAGAATCAAAGGAGACATGATGACCAAATGTAATGTGGGATCCTGGGACAGAAAAGGGCCCTATGTAAAAAAATATGGAAATATCAATAAATTACGCACTTTAGTTAATAATCTATCTATCATTATCATTATCACATCTATCATTAGCTGTGACAAATATACCAGAGTTATTTAAGATGTTAACACTAAATAAAACTGAGTGGAGGAATACAGAACTCTGTACTATGCAACTTTTCTGTGAATCTAAAACTTCTCTTAAAAAATAAAGTTTATTTTCTAAAAGTACATTAAAATAACATTTTTCACCCACCAGATTAGTAAAGATCCACAAGTTTGAGAACACACTTGTTTTGTTGAGATTGAGGGGAAACAGGCATTCTCAGTACACTGCTGGTAGAAACATAAATTGGTACCTCTGTGGAAGGCAACTTGAGGATACAATTTAAATCATAAATGCACAATTTAAAGCAAGAATTCAACTTATCCTCAATACTATGTATCCTCAAGAAATTAATTTTATGTGTACATATCTAATTATAGGCTATACAATTTTATAAACTATATATATTATAAAATTTTGTATATATATAAAATTAGTCATGCAACCTTGTTTATAATAACAAAATATTGGAAACAACTTAAATATCCATGAATGTTATACATCCATTCAATGGAAAACTATGCAGCAGTACCAAAGATGACAAAGTTCTCTATGGACTGCTACTGAACAATCTCTAAAATATATTTAGTGCAAAAGCAAGGTACAGCACGATGTGTATAGTATTCTTCCATTTTAGTTTTTAAAAAAGAAGGAATATATGTATGTGTTTGCTTGTATAGGCAATAAAATACCTCTGGGAAAACATAAAACAGTGATAAGTAAATGATTCCGGGTTAAGGGAACTGGATGGTGAGGGATAAAACTTTTCACTTTATCTTCTTGAATTTTGAACCACATGATTATATTACCTAGTCAATATATTTTTTAATTAAAGAGAACCCTTCTTATATCACAAAGAGCCAAAGAAGAAAAGGATCATGGGTTTGGGGGGGGTCACACTGCTTGGATTCTCAGTTCCCACAGTTATTGACAATATAACATAGTAGGCAACCTGGACTTGAACTTTTGTTTGGCAAGTTACAAGACTATGTAAGTTTCATTAAGATTCTTTAACTGGTCTAGGCCAGTTTCCTCATCTGTAAAATGGGAATAATTCTTCAGAATAGGGTGACTATAAAGTACTATACAAAAGAATGTTTTTTGTGCGGTACGCGGGCCTCTCGCTGCTGTGGCCTCTCCCGTTGCGGAGCATGGGCTCCGGACGTGCAGGCTCAGCGGCCATGGCTTACGGGCCCAGCCTCTCCGCGGCATGTGGGATCCTCCCGGACCAGGGCACGAACCCATGTCCCCTGCATCGGCAGGCGGACTCTCAACCACTGCGCCACCAGGGAAGCCCAAAAGAATGGTTTTAAAATCACTTGCAGCGTGGTCATCTATGAGCAAATATTCCAAGTTTATCCAGTAGGTTCAGACTTATTCAAACTGTCTGTATTGCCACACTCAAGTTAGAGGATAAGACCAAACAGCAGCTACTGGAAGACATCATACTTCCTATCCTGAGAATTTCTAACAGATGAGAATGTCATGGAAAGTACTAGAGTTACCCAAGACCTAGCATATGCAAATGACTGTGCTCTTGAAGCACCCAGGTGAATGAATGCAGCTCTAACATGCACCATTTTGTGGTTTTGGCACAGAACAGGGATGGAATCTAAGCAAAAACAAAGTGTGGGTCATAACATAACCTGCATTAAGTAAATCCTATATTGTGGTGGGCTGAATTCTGCTGCTCAACCAAACTGTCCAATTGACACATTGATCAACAAGGAAATGGAAGAATACACCAAAGTTGCTAGTGTGTCTGTCCCCTGGGAAGGTGGCAAAGGGTGGAACAGATTACTACACTGACCACCACACCAGACTTGTATACAGCTTCCTATAAAACATACATTCTATTGGTACTGAAGTGATACACACTACGTTACAAATCCACTAGGTGGGATGAGTGGAGAATGAATGGCTAAAAAGACATACATGGAGTGGAATTACAACTACAAAGCAAGGTCATAAGGAAGTACTCTATGTACCTGTGTATAACTGTAGCCAGTCCGAGTGGTAGGTACCAAGGGACAAATATTCAGAAAATTGTGCTAGAAGGAAAACCAGGCTATTTCTAGCTCTGCCAAATTTATTACCTGTGGAATAACAGCTATTCCATTTCCCCACAGCATCCTCTCCCCACTTCAAAAGGATATCAGACAGTATATTAAAAGCTTTGAGATTTCTAGATGTTATTCATGGGCACAGAGATCTTAGCACGAGGTAATTTCACAATTTCGCCCCCAGAATTTATGACAAACTGAAAAATATGCCTCATGTGTCTTTCTGACAATTTAACAAGGTTAGTTTAATTAAGCCAGAAGTTCCTCCTTAACATAGACATATTTTCAGGCTTTGTCCTTTTTAGGTGCTTTGTTCACAGCACACTTCTGATGAATACATTATGAAGCAATTATAATTTCCAGATATGAAAGAAGATGCTAAAACCAAAAATCTTCTCTTGAAGAGGGATAGCATCACTCATCTAATATTAAGAGTAAACAACTGTGCATGTCTTTCAAATCCTCCAAATGAGATAGCATAAATGCTGTCTTTTTCAGAGGACAAAAAAAGTAGATAAGCACTGGGAAAGTGTCAGCATGACAAATTTAAGAATTCTCCTTCAGCTAATATCTTAGTTGGTCTTTAACAATGGCTGTGGGGGAGAGGGGTCTCAAGATTCCAGTACCTAACATAAATGTAGCCTTAAAATTACTTGCAAGAATAGGTTATTTCTGATCTTTTAATTAATATCTGTTCAACAATGCCATGTCTTTTAGACACATGTTAGAACTAGAGTCAGAAGGAACCTTAAAAACGATTTAGTCCAAGGCTCCAAACAGTACACTGAGATCTACCAGTAAACCCACAGTATTACTGCATTGACCTGGAAGTCACTCGCCATTCACATGCCTCTTTTTTATTTTTAGCCTTTTTTTTAAACATCTTTATTGGAGTATAATTGCTTTACAATGGCGTGTTAGTTTCTGCTTTATAACAAAGTGAATCAGTTATACATATACATATGTCCCCATATCTCTTCCCTCTTGCATCTCTCTCCCTCCCACCCTCCCTATCCCACCCCTCTAGGTGGTCACAAAGCACCGAGCTGATCTCCCTGTGCTATGCGGCTGCTTCCCACTAGCTATCTATTTTATGTTTGGTAGTGTATATATGTCCATGCCGCTCTCTCACGTTGTCCCAGTTTACCCTTCCCCCTCCCCATATCTTCAAGTCCATTCTCTAGTAGGTCTGCGTCTTTATTCCCATCCTGCCCCTAGGTTCTTCATAACCATTTTTTTTTTAGATTCCATATATATGTGTTAGCATACGGTATTTGTTGTTCTCTTTTTGACTTACTTTACTCTGTATCACATGCCTCTTTTATGTCCTGGAAAAAAAATATTAGAACTCCCAATGCAAAGTCAATAGGAGTACTGTAGCCTCCTCTTTCTTTATTTTACTGAGGAAGTTTACAGTAAGCAAGTACTGGTAGTGAAAAGATATAAAGGAATCAAAAAACTTGTGAGAAATGAAAACTAGTTTCTTCCAGTTGGGAAAATCTTCATATGGTCCAACTCTTTCATGTTATAGACAAAAGATAATGCTCCAAATGAAATTATCTGTGCAGTTAATTAAGCAGGGACAAGAATAAATCCAGTATTTCCTTCTATATACTATGTTCTCTTTACTGAATGTGGAACTTAACGTATTCACAGACTACAAGAGTTGAATTGCCAAAAACAATAGGGGAAATGTCTTTATCTAGGATAATAATATTGTATTCAAACATTAAAGATTACTCAAGATAATACTCAAAAGCTGTTTACCTACAGAAATCATCCATAAAATTAAATGGTCTCTGTAATTTTGAGAGGTAATGAAAACTTACCTGATTAGAAGCTGCTACTTTGAGAAGTGTGGGTAGGAAAGAAAGAGGCCATGTAAGTTTTGATATTTGGTTTACTCATAAGGTGATGTAAATCACTAATACTCATTTCAAAAATATATTCTTTCCATAATATGTACCCTTCAGGATGT